GACTTGAAACATTGGTGCAGATTTTCAAACCTCTTTTTTTTTTTTCTCCTGTGTGTCAGACCAGCCATCCTGGTGATGCATCACTCCATGAAACCTCATCCCACCATCACTGCCACGCTGCTAGAGGGGGAGCAGCGTCTGGCTGCTCCGCTACCTCACCCCCTCCATCTACACAGACTGAATGTTTCTGTCTCGGTTCAGTTCCCAGATGAGACGCTGTGGAGCGTTTAGCTGCTCAACATGATCGTAGCTGTCAGACTCCACACAGGTAACAGCTGATCAGGACTCTCCTCTGCAGAACCTTTAGTCTGGTTCTGCTGGTTCTGATCCAGGTTGTGTTCAGTAAGCAGGTCTGTGTTGCAGCTGCAGGAGCTGATGTGTCCATGATGATGGGGAGCCTGGTGATGTTCAGGAAGGACTCTCAGAGGTCACCTGTCCTCATGTCTTCCACCTGTCCTCACATCTTCTTCTTCATGTGTCCAGTTTAGTCTCTAGACTGGGAGACCTTCGAACAGTACAGCACCTGGCAGCTGTTCCTGGCCCACAGCATCCCCCTGCAGACCATCATCTCCATCCTGCAGTACCTTAAATTTAAAGGTGAGTGGTGTCTAGGAAAGGAGCCCTGTCCTCCAGTCTGATCAGTCCTCTGACTCCTTTTGTCTTTGTGTTCCTAGAACACCAAGGCCTTGTCCTGTCTGCTGCTGCTCTGCAGAGAGAAGTATGACAGGAACACACCTGGACACTCATCTTAGAGTCTCCTGGGTCCCCGTTAACATCTCCGTCTCTGTGTCCCAGGCCCAGTGAGGAGATGGTGAAGATTTTCCTGAGTTGTCCCTGTCACCCCGAGGACCAGTTCAGCACCAGCATCCTGAGACACTGGGCGTTCAATCACGACAACACGCTGAGAGAACGCATCAAGGCCCAGCTGGTCGAGAATAGGGATGCAACGATTACAGATTTTGTTGGTATGATTATTGTCAGAAATCAGTTTCATGATTATTATGCATTAATTAATTTCACAACAATAATGACATAAGTTGATTTTTAATTAATTGCATTAACAATTTCTATAATATGTAAGTATTTATATAAGGAATATTAACTAACCAGGGTTGTCATAAAGGAGGGGAATAAACTGTTTAAAGTGAAAATGATATGAAATGCAGTTAATTGGTCTAAGCTCCTGATGTAAGTTAGTGTTGTACACCTGGCAACATTTTTGTCAACACTGACAGGAGAAGACAACATGATGTAAGTTAAATGTTTAGTGACTGAAGGTCTTGAGAGGACTGCATTCTCTCTTCTATAAAACCCTTTCAGAAAAGAAGCGATTTGCACTACGTGGAAGCTGCTCGACGCAGCAACAAAACACCCCTTGCGCGGCGCAAGCCATTGAAAACAATGGGCCTCATAGCACAGCGGGGCTGTTGCGGTGGGTCTGAAAGGTTACATGCTGCTTTGTTGACATTGCACTGAAAGCTCGACTCCCACTGCTACGGCACTAATTGTAAGTGACGCGTTTATATTTAATTCCCTACCAACTTGCTACGTTAATGTAGGCCTACCTTTACTTGGGCCTGCAAAGCTGGGTGGTGGTCCCGGTGGCAGCGACTACTGAAATCAGTAGTTGCTGCATCCCTAGCAAAGAACTACCAGCCCCAACACAAAGAACAGCTGTCAGTACACACAGGCTTATTGATCGCTTCAGGAGGGATTGATAACTGTTAGCTGAGTCTGTCTCTGCCAGTCTTCACTCAGACCCCGATCCTTTGGCTCTGCAGCACGTTCAGGCCAGCTGTGACGAGGTCCACAAGATAAGGTACACATACACTGACGGGTGACATCACTGCGGTGGTGATATCACTTCCTCCTCCTACAGGTTCAGCGACCTGTTCGCCCTGGAAGGAGTACGAGGACTCCCAGACCAAGCCTCCCAACTTCCACCTTAAGGCTCCGGCCTCCTCCTCGCTCACAGAAAGGAGAGCGCCTCCAGCAGAGCCTCAGTATGTAACTCCACCTGCTCCTGAATCTGCGTCTCGTTCTTTGATTGGTCTGTTTCAAAACCACACGGAAATTTGATATTTAATGTGTCTGATTTGTGAAACAGGAAGCAGCTCTGTGTCTTCACCAAGCAGGAACCTCCAGGTTTGAAAAGTGAAACCTCAAACCTGCATTCTCTCTAACAGCCAGCAGGGGGCGACTCCACTTGATCGTATAGAAGTCTATAGGAAAATGTGGCTACTTCTCAGCTGATTTATTACCTCAGTAAACACTTTGCTAATGAGTTTATTGTCTCAGTCGCTAGTCTTCTTCAAAACAGCATGATGGTCACTTAGTAAATTATAGTCCCATTTAGAGGAAAATGACCAGAAAGCAGGGGAGGCTTTAGGGCGGGGCTACCTTGTGATTGACAAGTCACTATGTGTGACCCAAATATGGTACCCCATGGATGATTCAGTCTGTGTTCAGGACGGAGCTGAACACCACTTTTCTCTCAGCTGGTAGGCTGGAATAAAATACAGCTGCTCGTTACTTGCTATAAATTGAACTAAAAGACTTTCTGTTAGCTTCCTGCTCAGCTTCCAGTCTGAAAGGGAGATGTTTAACCTGTTTCACTTCTCCAGCCGTTCGGAAACAGACTTTTGTTCTGGAGAAGCTGAAGCATTTATTACCTGACACACCGACTCCATATTTTTTTAGTGCCAGAATATTTTCCTCCTGAGATTCACTGTCACTCGGACAATCGCTCAAAATTTAAGGTCTTAAATTCACTGAAGTTTCTGTTCTAAGTCTTAAATAATTTTAAACGGGTATTTATTTTCCAACGTCCATGTAACACTACCTCTAATGCTCATTGAAATGCAGTTGTCAGGTTTCTAGCTCTGTCCTCTACTGTACATCTTGATACTTAAAAACAAAGGACAGTGTTTACTACAGAGGAGCTGAGGTTAGTAACGTTAAAGCAAATTAGGGATGCAAACTAATGTTAGTCCTTTTAAGCTAATGAGATTATTCTGGATTTTGATGTACAAATGAAATGCTTGTAATAATGCAGAAGGGAGGTAGTTCTCATGTTAATTTCTACAAATGTATAAAGCAGTAAATTAAGACACAAAAGGCAAACATGAACTGTCATATCTATAATGATTCTGAGGTCATGTTAGCAGTGTTTTCCTGCCATTATAAGGTGGTGTGGCTCAAAACAGCTTAGTGCTGCGCAATAAATATAAAATCACTGGAGAGCATCAAAACTAACAAAATGAATTTTCCCAGATCTAATGGTTAAAATTCAACCCCTGTAGACTTATTTAGCTTTTGGGGTGTAGTTTGTCTCCCCTGAGTTTATCCAACAGCAGGAGGCTAAGTTTTATAAAGTTGACAAAAGACACAACTTTTTTTTTTCTTTTTTCCTGGATTTGTCTACCAGTGATCCATTTTTCATTTCAGCAGGTCCACCGCATGCCAACTTGTTAATGTCATTGTAGCTTATCAATGTCATGTCCATCCCGTGTTTCATTGTTATCGTCCAATGCCAATTTTGTAGACATCACTCAACCCTAACTTGAATACATTACTGCAAGTAATTTTGTGACTGCATTTTCTTTGTGTGTTTCTTTTCTAAGTTCTGATATAGGTCTTGAATTTCATTCATCATGGTCTTAAAGTCCTAAATTTGACCAGGTGAAACCTGCAGAAACTCTGATTGTTCCATTACCTCATCTACCTAACTTAACAATTTGCGTAGTGTGGAACTTCTTATTTTATTTCTTGATTCTTTTCGTCTTTATTTGCTTATGATTCCATGAAACTCCACATTTAAAGCTCCCTTTTATATTTAAGTAAAGGCTACTGATGGAATGAAATTATACAAAGTCACTTTTTCCACAAAACACAGTAAAGTAGTAAAAAGAAATTTTATTTAGCTTAAGAGATTCAACACCAAAAAATCTCATTAAGAATCTGGAAATGGAGAATGTTCAACAAAAAAGACAAATTGTTGCTGGTTAATTATCTGATCAAGCAGTCAATTGCTTTGTCTATTCAGCTTTATGCAAGATTTGCATAAAGCTGAATAGATTTGAGGTAATCAGTTTCCACAAATATTGAGTATTCTGAACTTATTTGGGTTTGAGGCCCAAGCTACACTCAATCCTGTGTGTGGAAGTACTATCACCAAACTGTACTTTAAATATATCAGGTCCCCTCTAAAGGATCACAAGATAATTCTGGAAGGTTGTGAGCTGATTAACATGAGTGAAAATAAGTATAAAACAAAAAGCGGGGGCCTGAAACACTAACATTAAAACAGTTTGACCTCTTTGCGCCTCAGTTATTTAAATGAAACAATCTCTTTTTGGTGGAACTCCTAAAAAGTCGTCTGACTCATCACTATACATGGCTTCTTTTGTAAAAAGCATTAAGATGAAAATCACTGGTTTAATCTTTAATAGCATCTTGTGTTTTAAAATTTTTTAAAATGAAAATAAGTAAATAGTGAATGCAACTACAGCTGTTAAATG